GTGCATTTTCGACATCTATGATTGTCGCCATCTGTCTCCATTGAACTACTACATCGAGTACATGCCAAGTACCACCATTCATCTATGATTGAGTTAATCGTTGCACACACGCAAATGTCCTTAGCCTACAATTGAACCATTCAATATACGAATAAGTATTAAAAAATCGAACTTCAACAATTATTTTTTAAAATTAATTAATATTAAAAATTACCTCCACACAATCATGTAGCAAATCAACAGTACTAACGACGATGTCACCGTTCTCGAGTTGTTGTTCGGTTTTGACAATAGTCGAACTATTGGACACCAATTGGGTATTCCTCAATCTACCCGCAGCTAACCTAATGGCAGAATAATATATAAATTTAAATACAATCAAAGAATATAGTATTAATTTAATACATATGAATAAAAACTTTTGATTTAATATACCTCCTGCGAAATTTATGAATTTCGGGAACATCTACACAGATGATGAGAGTAACATCCTTTGATGTGGTTATTCGCACTTCCCTAAACAAAAATTAATTAGGGGATTAGTTAATATTATTGGAATTTCTACATCCTCAAAATAAATTATTTAGAGGATTATAAATTATAAATAAAATAAGAAATTTACGATATAAAATTATTAAAATATTACCATCAAAACCTTGGCACGGCACATTTGCATGATTACGAAAAAAGGCTGTTGTTCATTCATATAGTGATGCTCAATAGCAATCAATTGATCAATATATTGTCCCCAAAGGGTACAATTCTTCTTTTGTCCTCTAAAAAAATCGAAAAAATAACTTCGAAGTTAATAATTGTAAGAAAGCGAATACTCAATTTATAAAATGAAACAATAATCATAGGAACATTCAAATAAAATAATTGAAACAATTCTTCTTTTGTCCTATAAAAATTTAGATGTACTTACTCCAAGTTTATAAGGGAGAAAACGATCATTTGAGTAGGCACTCCCTTGACAGTTTTCATTTGAATTGGTTGTATTTCGACAACCACGCCAATTACATCTATAAAATACGATTTAATAAGTAAATACGCAAAGTAAACAATACAAAATAAATAATTTAAAATTCGTAAAAAAATTAAGCAGTTACGTGAAATAAATAATTTAAAATTTGTTAAAAAATAAACAATTAATAATTTCTTACCAAACAACATAGATTCATCACCATTGTCAATGTTCATTAAAGTTGCCAAATCTCTAAAGATAAAACGAAACGTAGGGAAAGGGTGAGACCACTTGATAAATTTCGTATCCTTATTGATCACAAGCCTCCAAGTGCATATCGTCGTTTTGTAAATGTCAGTATTGCTTTCGACTTGGTAATTCTTTAAGGCATAGACGACATATTTTTCCACTTCGTTTATGAAATTAGCAACATGCATGGGTCGGACCAAAGCATTGATACGACCTCCCTAACAAATTACATAAAACAAAGAATTAGTTCGAATTAGTGAGTAAAATTTCTTTTTAAAAAATAATAAAGTTAACAAATAAATATTTACATAGTACCTCAGAATCATGGAAGATAAACTCCAACGGATTTTTATAACTACGATCCTCCTCTCGTTGGAACATCCTAATGAGGCGTAGGTTAATGAATGGTCTATAAGTTCTTTTGAGGTCATTAATAGTACAAAAAACAGGAGGCATTTTGAATAGTTGGGGAAAGGAAAAATAAAAGTATGGTTTGTGGGGAGTTTCTCTTATCAAATCTGTGATATCACAATATGAGACCGACAGGGGTTTATATAGCGATTAAGTACGTATAAATCATAATCCCACATATAAAATGCATATATACATATATATATATATATATATATATATATTACAATACTATTTATTCCATATCTATTAACCAAATGGTTAACTGTAAATATAATGAAAGATATGGACTGATCTATATTCTACATTAAAGATAAAGAAAATAAATCAAGTATAGAGATAAAGAAGTACGTATAAATCATAATCCGACATATAAAAGGCATATATATATATATATATATATATATATATATTACAATACTATTTATTCCATATCTATTAACCAAATCAGCCGTGGATTACGTATGAGGACTCCGTAAGAATTATATATCTTTTACCATAAATCGCTTCAAAATATAAATCCAAATTAAATTAAACAATGAGCGATGAAAATCAATCCATGATTTTAGGCTTCACGTGATTTTATACAAAATAAAGAATGAGCGGGATTTATGAATAATCCGATCAACAGTGGTTTTGATCGCATGATTTTAGACAAAAAAAAAAAAAAAAAANAAAAAATCTACCAAATCCCATCCTAAAAAAGAAGAAGTGAAATTAGTTAGGCTTATTCTAAAAATCGGATTACACCATAAAAATCTACCAAATCCTATCCTAAAAAAAGAAGTGAAATTAGGCGTATTGTTAAAATCGGATTTCAACAAATCCCATCCAAATATAAATGAGTTGAAATGTAGGCGGGATTTCAAAAAGTATTAAAAAAAATAATAATTTTGGATATCTAAAAGAGAATGTACCATATTTTCAAGAATCCACATTTTTTGGAATTGTTTTCTTTAATAATTCAATATCGTATAAGAGTCTTTTCAAAACATATCCAACATTAATTTGAATCATTTTAAATGAGCAAATTTTCGAGAAATATATTTTCATATAAAATATTAAAATCGGATATGTTGAAGAGAGTGGACCATATTATTAATAATACACATATTTTGGAATGGTTTCCTTCATTATTCAATATAATGTAGAAGTCTTTCCAAATAATATCAAACATTAATTTTGAATTATAAGTAAATTTTTGAGAAAAATAATTACATAGAAAATAATAAATTCGGATATCAAATTCGAACTAAATATAAGCAAGTAATAATTTCCTTAAATAAGTAAATTTTCGAGAAAATCATATAGGATAATTTGATGGCAATGTAACATATTTGTAAGAATCTACATTTATTTGGATCTTTTTTTCCCAGTTAGTTAATATTGTATAAGAAAATCTACATTACACGTTCGTTCAACCTTTTTTGTAATGAAGAGCACAAATTAAAGTATATTATAGTTGTTAATTGTAAAGCACAAATTAAAATACAAAAATCATTATTTACTCACGAAATCAAATAATAAATGAACAACAAATTAAATCGAATAAATTCATATATATTGAATAAAAATGTAATCTAATAGCAATGTTGAACCCATGGAATAAAAAAAGAAATTTCTTAGTAAAATTGAATGACATGGAATAAAATTAAATATCACATAATTATAAGAAGCTACGATAAAACTTATTATTATGTATCTAATCTTCAATAATTATAGACGCTCATGGAAAAGTTTCATCGTATTTCATCACGTGTGTCCTAATATTAAACACAATCTTCCAATTGTAGGGGGTTGTCCTTTGCCGCCCATTATTGGGTTTCAATCTATGGTTGGCGGTCATATACATGTCGCCTTCTTTAAAGACATTTCGGAATAAGCTCAAATGCGCGAACGTATCAGCCCAGTTATTTGTGCACCTTACAATATAAATTTGTACAATATAAATTAATGATTGTTACATAAGAATGTAATTAATTGAAAACATTACCTCTTGATCTTGAAATATGATGCCACAGAAATTCTTTGTCTCCAATTCATAATGGGTTTCAACAATTAGAATTGCTCTTAATTTCAAAAAAGGCATGTTCCCCTATTAACCGCAAGGAGTCTGTCAAACACTGGTGCCATTGTGTTTTTCTGTTTTTTAATAATGTGTCTCTCTGTTTTTCAGGATTATTTGATCTGGAAGAAGTGAAGAAGCAGTTATAAATAAATGATGGAGTATAGAAGTCGACTACTTTGTTTTAATAAGTATTATTTTGTCCGTTAATGTATTATTTTATCCGATTTGTTGTTATTTGCTTACTAACAACCAATATGGGATTTGTGATTATCCGATCTTACTAAATCCCTTCAAA